CTTCTTCTTCTTCTTCTTCTTCTTCTTCTTCTTCTTCTTCTTCTTCTCCCTTCTCCCTTCTCCCTTCTTCCTTCTTCTTCTTCAATCTTTAGTGAGATTCACAGCCTTTGGGGCTAGTTGGTAGCTCAACAGCTCAAGTCCTAACCAAGGACCTAGGAAGTGTTCAGGTAGCATTGGAGGATATAAGCTGTTCCAAGTAGGGTGTTTTTTGTAAAATCGGGGTATTCAAGTCTGATAAATTCAGGATTTCCAAATAGCAAGGCAGCCCTTTAGGTATTGCTCCAAGGGCTCCAATTATATTATTATTGTTATTGTTGTTGTTGTTTTAAACATCAGACTGCCTAGATTTTAAGAAGATGCATTATCAACTCCAATAATCCAGAGTCCATACAACTACACTGGGTGTACAATTATTAGGCAAATATATATTGACTATAACATCATTTTTATGCATTTTTTCCACCTCCAAGCTGTATAAACTTGAATGCTTAGTGAATATAAGCATATCATGTGATGTGTATTTGTGTAATGAGGGAGGGTGTGCCCTAAGGAGATCAATGCCCTATATCAAGTGTTATTATTAGGCAGCTTCTTTTCCTCAGGCAACATGGGCCAAACAAGAGTTACTGACTTTGAAAAGTCAAAAATTGTAAAATCTTTCAGAGGCATGGAGCCCCCTTGAAATTGCTAAGATATTTGGGCGTGATCACAGAACCAAATGTTTTGTTGCAAATACTTAGTCAATAAGGTCTTAAGAAATATGTTGTCATGCCCCCGTCAGTCTCAATCTGCAGGGGAAGATGAGATGGAACAAGAACTGACAGAGTGTGAGAGGGCAGCTCCGCTGGCTTTGGAAGAAACTGGGTCCAGGCAAGGCTTTTTGGAATTAGTAAGGCCTGCAGGCAGGATGGAACAGAGCTCAGATGAGGAGCAACAACCATCCCCTACTGATGCAAGGGCTTGGAGAGTGCAGAGAAGGCGGGATCAGATGAGATGGAGCAGGCCACTCACGAGGAGAGTGCCCTGCCTAGCTTTACCAGGCACACCTGGGGTATGACACTTAAGGAGATGCTACGGTTGGGGGCATTTGTCGGGAACAAACGCTGAGTTCCTGAAGTGTTCTGTGCTGACGTTTGAAAGTGCCAAGAATCAAGTGGAATTATTCTATGTGGAATATTTTAGAGGGAAAGAAGAAAAGATAAGACGAGAGGAGGCAATAATTAGAATCCAAGAGGAATGTTTAGAACTAAGAGATAAAGAGGAAGATGCTGCAGGAGGCAGAATGGAAGCTAGAGCAGTAAATCCTTTGTGTAAAGTATAAAATATGGAAGAGAAAAAATTGATCAAAATTAATATAAATGGACTCAATATGGCTACCAAAAGGAAAATATTTCACAAATTAGAAAAAATAAAATTAGATATAATCTGCCTACAAGAAGTACATATTAAAAAACAACATGAACAAATATTAATACAACCAAAACTTGGGAAAATATATACTTCGTTGATGAAGCATAAGAAAAGGGGAGTGATTTTATATATTAGAAATACTATTATACCTAAACAAATCTTTACAGATGAAGATGAAAAATTTTGATGGTGGAAATAATGGACATTAATGTTAAAACACTCTTAATAGCAATATATGCTCCCAATGGAGGCCAAGAAGAATTTTATAGAAAGTTACACAAGAAAATAATTGAGCTGGACTATGATAATATATGCATTATGGGAGATTTCAAAGAAATAGTTGATGTAAAATTAGACTATAATTCACAGAAAATAATTAAGCAAAATAGATTCTTCCAAAATCCTTTTTTAAAATGACAGAGGAATTGAATTTAAAAGATGCCTGGAGAGAAAGAAATGGGAAAAACAGGCAATATACTTTCTATTCAAAGAGACACTCATCTTGGTCAAGAATTGATATGGTATGTATGTCAACGGAATTAATCTCCAATATGCAAGAAATTGACATTGAAACAAGTATTTGGGCATACCACAAGCCAGTAAAAGTTATACGGAAAGGAAAAAGGAAAAGATCTAGATGGACTTTAAACAATACTATACTGAAAGAAAAAGAATTTACACAAAAAATGGAGAAAGAATTTGCATCTTTTTTAAAGAAAACAGAACAGAAGACACCTCAGTTCAAAATCTTTGGGATACAATGAAAGCTTATGCTAGAGGACTGATAATAGATTATACAAGAAAAAGGAGCAAAAAGAAAAGACAATTGTTACAGACATTAGAGGAAGATCATAAGAGACTTGAGAAGGAGTTACAGAAATATCCACAAAAAAAGCCATTAAAACTCAAATGGACATTATTAAACACAGAATGGGGTTAATGAAAAAAGAACTGGCACAGAAAATTAGAAGTGTTAAACAGAATTTTTTTGAAGATGCAAATAAACCAGGTAGATGGTTAGCATATAAATTTAAAAAAAAGAGAAAGATTCGAAAAAGATAATACAACTGATAGATGATAAAGGAAAGATCTGTCATAGAAATGAAGAGAAGAAAAAAATTATACAGGACTAATATGGTAAATTATATGATCAAGAAAAGGTAGAGGAGGAAAATATTAAGTATTACCTGGAAAAGGTGAAATTACCCCAGATACCCAAGTACATTGAAAAGATGTTAAAAGGGGACATAACGATGATGGAGCTAACTGAGGCATTAAAAAAACAAAACAATGGAAAGGCACCAGATGGACTACCAGCTGAATTTTATACTACTTTACAGGAATCTTTGAATCTCCCATTTCTGGAAGTGATGAGTGAAGTCATGTCAAAGACGAAAATACCTAATTCATGGTCAGAGGCTTACATTAGTCTTATACTGAAGGAGGATGCTGACCCACAACAAATCAAGAGTTACAGACATATCTCACTAATGAACTCAGATTATAAAATATTTGCTTCAATAATAGCAGAAAGACCTAAGATACTTGAACAATTGTATACACTCTGATCAAAATGGATTTCTGCTAGAGACAAATTAAAGATAATATGAGAATAATTCTGGACACTTTGGAATACTATGAGGCACATCCTGAGAAGCAAATGGCTTTGATATTTCTAGATGCACAAAAAGCCTTTGATAATGTGAATTGGCAATTTATATTACAATTGGAACAGATAGGCTTTGGTGGGAAATTTATTCAAGCCATTGAAGCCATATATGGAAGGCAATCAGCAAAGATAAATGGAGAATTAACAGAAAATATTGCTATTAAGAAAGGAACTAGGCAAGGTTGCTCGTTGTCACCTCTGTTGTTTGTACTGACTTTGGAGGTACTAAATAGAAATATTAGAGAAGATAGGGAATATAAGAATATAAGAATATAAATTACAAGCATTTGCAGATGATCTGGTTTTTATCTTGGAAGATCCATTAGAAACAGCGCCCAAATTAATAGAAAAAATTGAGGCATATGGATTGGTGGCAGGCTCAGGCATGATATTCCCCTCTGAAAAAAAAATCGGGCCGGCCAAAAGAGACCCCCCACCGCGCGCCAAGAAATCGCCCGCCCGCCCGCCACTCTCCCCGCCCGCCCGCCCGCCGCTCGCACCGCCTGCCCGCCGTTCGCACCGCCCGCCGCTCGCACCGCCTGCCCCGCCCGCCCACCGCTCGCACCGCAGAAATGAGTAAATGGACATTTGAAATTAGAGAGCAAGAAGATAAACAATTTTATAAGATATGGGGTTTACTTTATCAATGATTTGATAACAAAATAAGGAAATGAAATTATAATATTTTATAATATAAGTATAATAGAATTGTAGAGATAAAGTAATATAAGGATAAATCATTTTTTAATAGACTGGCAATGATGAAATGAATGTTATAAAGTAAGCTAAGTAAAAATGGGGATTTTCTTGCATAAAATGATGGAATGTTAGTAATAGTCTAATAAACAAATAATAATGATAATAATATATATATAGTCGATTTATAATATGAGGATTAATTTGAATTAGAAGGGAATGACTGTAAAGATTGTGCATAAAATATTTGTATCAACTGTATGTAAATTGAAAGATGGTTTTATGTTTTTTGTTTGTCTAAAAAATAAAAAAACTTTTTAAAAAAAGAAACTGCCAAGAATCCTTGCATTCCTGTGTGGTGTTCTGGACTGATTATCTGGATATTTTGCTTCCTGAACTCCTTGCTTTGCTCATTTTGCCAAATACATTTGGGATTTATTGCCGTGCAGCCTTGGTGCAGACAGCGCTGGGCTAGACTAATTGCAATCAGAGGCTGCTTGAGGTTTGTGGGGGGAGTTTATCATCATCCTGCTCAGGGACTTGTCAGAAACGTGGGAGCGTTTAGGGGAGATTTGGAGCACAAAAGGGCCAGTTTGAACTGCTAGCTGTTTGTGTTATCTCTGAGCCGTGCCCTGGGATGACATGTTGAGAAAAAAAGATGTACATTAACTGCCAATGATTTGGGAAGAATCAAACGTGAAACTACCAGAGCCCATTATCCTCCACTGCTGTCATATTCCAGAACTGCAACCCACCTGGAGTGCCCAGAAGTACAAGGTGTTCAGTGCTCAGAGACATGGCCAATGTAAGGAAGGCTGAAACCCAACCACTACTAAACAAGATGCATAAGAGGAAACAGCAAGACTGGGCCAAGAAATATCTGAAGACAGATTTTTTCAAAGGTTTTATGGACTGTGACTCTTTGATGGACCAGAGGGACTGTGGCTAGACCACTTCGACTCAGATGCCAGCCAGATGGAGAAGGTGTAATACTAACATAGGCTAGTATTATTAAAGATGAGCTAGTTGGACCTTTTCAAACTGAAGATGGACTCAAAATCAATTCCCAAACCTGCTGCCAGTTTTTAGAATACACTTTCTTCAAGCAGTGATACAGAAAAAAGTCTGCATCTTTCAAGAATACCATGATTTTTATGCCGGACAATGCTCCACTGCATGCATCGAAGTACTTCACTAACCAGTAATGGCCTTAAAGACAAGAGAATAATGACATGGCCCCCTTCCTCACCTGGTCTAAACCCTATTGAGAGCTTGTGAGCCCCTCTTAAATGGAATATTTGCAGTGAAGGAAAACAGTACACTTCTCTGAACAGTGAATAGGATGATTACCAACCAGGATGATTAGGGGACTGGAGACTAAAACATATGAAGAACAGTTACAGGAACTGGGCATGGCTAGTCTAATGAAGAGAAGGACCAGGGGAAACATGATAACAGTCTTCCAATATTTGAGGGGCTGCCACAGAGGTCAAGCTATTTTCTAAAGCGCCTGTAAGCCAGGCAAGGAATAATGGATGGAAACTGAATAAGATGAGATTTAACCTGGAAATAAGGAGAAACTTTCTGACAGTGAGAACAATCAACCAATGGAACAGCTTGCCCTCGGAAGTTGTGGGAGTGTCATCACTTGAGACTTTCAAGAAGAGATTAGACTGCCATTTGTCAGAAATGGTGTAGGGTCTCCTGCTCAGGCGGGGGGTTGGACTAGATGACCTACAATGTCCCTTCCAACTCTGATTATCTGTTATCTGTTATCAGTGTCTGGCAGACTGTGGTTGCTGCTGCACAAAAAGTTGATTGTCAACAGATCAAGAAACTGACAGATCCCATGAAAAGAAGAGTGGCTGGTTTTTGTTTTGTTTTTTGAAATGTCAGAAATGTTTATTTATACACTTTGAGCTGTTTATTATTCTCACTTCAACAGTGCAGATAAGTGAGTAGGATGGACAAATTTTCATTTTTCATTTAGTTGCCTAATAATTTTGCACACTAATAGTTGCCCAATAATTGTGCACACATAGAAATTCTCCTAAGAAAGCCAAAACTTTTACTTTCTTAAATATTCAAGTTTTAGATTTTTGCCTTTATCTTATTAAATTCAAAGTTATATTTTATTCCAAAATTTAAACAGACTCAGATTACTTTTACCTTGCCCAATCTAGAAAGATTAGAATGAAATCATAACTTGCCAAAGGCAGTTTACTTCATAACTTGAACTTCAGTTCTCTACCATTCTAGATTCAAAGTCTGCATCATCTGTTATATATACAAATCTATCCAAATTTTACTTTATAAACTAATTATTATAAAATAATAGAACTTTCATTTCTAGATAATAAAGGAGTCTGCATTAGTTTTAAACTATTGAAACTAACAGGGCAGTGTTGAGTTAATAGATATCAATTTCCTAGAAAACAAAATCTAAACAAGATGGATATTTTAGCTGTCACAAACAAGAGCGCTGAATTTCAATGTTTTCAGCTTAGTAATGTTTTGATCAGCTCTTAAAAATCAGATGAAACCATACAATTGATTATTCTTATTCACAAATTCTTTATTTATGAATTTGCCTACTTGTTAAATTTTATTTGTAACAAAAAAATTAATATTCATGGTGCTTTCACAATTATCCGTAAACAAGCAGAGAGCAGCAAAAAAAGAAAAAGAAAACCTGTTGTGCAATACATGTTCCCAGCAGAGGTTTCAGTATTTGCTAATTCAGTGTTCACAATGACTTTATTGAAGATAACTAGTGCCAATAATGAGAATCCTTGTAGTTATGTGTATAAGGTTCCTTCGTGCTAATTATTTTATTGCAGGTTTTATCTTGGCATCTAAATTATTACAGTTTTACTACCATACAAGAGTGGAACTAATTGTTTTATAAAGTATGTTAATAAGTTAATATAGTAGCAATAAACAAGAAACATGAAAAAGGTGGAAAAATCTTACCCCATGAGGTCAAGAATTCTGCAGCATATCTATAAATTCGATTTAGAATTTCAATCACAACAGCATAAATTATGCTAGGCATGTATACTATCAAGGCGCTTAATTCATTTTGGTTCTCTTCATAATATAAACGTGCTTGGAATTCCAAGTCAAAATAAATCATCATTATTTGAAGTGAAAAGCAGAGACAAAGGCACACAAATGGAACTGAAACAAAATAAATCCGTAATTGTCTTTTGAAACTGGAATATATTGGTTCCTCTCTGCCAGTGACAGGATTGATACCTAAAACCCCATGAAATCCTGGTCTTGGTTCTTCAAATTGTCGCTTCATCATTAGTGTTCCCCATCTGTAAGCCATAACAGCACAAGATCGTTTCCAGAGTTCAAGGATAACAGTAGACCACAGCAGATTGAATGCTGCAAATAGCACATACTTGTCATAATCTTCCCAATCAAAAACATAATAAGGGATCCCAATGACTGCCATTGGAATTAAAGCAAATGTGATATATTCCAAAAAGGCAAAATAGAAAGCAAGTGTTTCACCAAAATAACAGCGAATTTCATCTGTGAGGGAAAAAAAAATATCATTCAGTAGGTAGCAATAACTAACCAACCGGGCGCAGGCCCAGAAGCTAAATAAGGTTAGTCTTCAGTGAATTTATACAACATATAATGAATCTATTTATAAATCTTCATCTCACGATTTTCCTAACTCAAGTCAAGACAAGACAAGACAAATACTCATTTCCCAAAATGGAAATAGGGTCCTATTTACAAAGCCATATTGCTCTATCTCTGGTATATATTTCAGTTATCAGGTATATTCAATCTCAAACATTTTCTCACTATTTAATATTTGTAGCAAAAAATCCTTCATTTCCCTCTGTGAATATCCATTTTTTATTTGTTAATTATATTAAAAAATACAAAAGAATACACCTATACCCATATGTAGTATCAGAAAAGAATCAAATCAATAAGCCAGTATTCCCTCAATTGCTTCTTGCACACAGGCCGTATATGGTCTTGAATTTAGACTAGAATAGAATACTTTATTGGCCAAGTGTGATTGGGCACCGAAGGAATTTGTCTTTGGTGCATAAGCTCTCAGTGTACATAAGGAAAAAATAAAATACATTCATCAAGAATCATAAGATATAACACTTAGTGATAGTCATAGGTTACTAATAAGCAATCAAATCATAATACAAACAAATAAAACAATATAAATTGTAGATACAAGCATCAAGGTTATAGTTATAAGTTGGAAGAGATAGGTTATAGCAAGGATGAGAAAAATAATAGTAATACAGTCTTACTAAATAGTTTGACAGTGTTATAGGAATTAGTTGTTTAGCAGAGTGATGGCATTTAGGAAAAAACTGTCCTTGTGTCTAGTTGTTCTGATGTGCAGTGCCTTATAGCATCATTTTTTAAAAAACAAATTTTATTAATTTTTAAAAGCATACAAAACATACAAGATAAACATAAAACCTTTTTTCTAAAAATTTCTAAAAATTATTTGAAAGTTTTACAACTTTAACACATTTCCTTACAATCACATATTTTCCCTTTCTAACTTGCTTTATTTTCTTCTATCTTTCTCTCCATTGTCCTTTTCTAGCCTTTCTCCAAGGTTTTATTAGCTCATTCAAACATAAACACATAAGAACACAAAACATATAAACATTAAAAAAAAAACATCTTTTCTGAAAGTTGCTTAATCCCGGGTCAAAACTCTTTGTACAGACACCAACTCAAATTCATATTCATTTTATATGCCATTCCATATCTTATTACTATTTTCAATTTTTTATATAGCTTCTTCTCTCTCTTAGATTCTCTTAATTTTATTTTATTTATCTCATCTCAATTCAAATCATAGTATTTAGTATTCTTTGTCTGTTTATCCAGCTATCAATTTATCTTTCTTCTTTTTAAAAAAAGTTCTCCTGTACACTAATTGGAGTATGAAGCCTTTACCTCTTTCCCCTACAATTATAATACTTAATATAAAATACCTAACTTACATTGGGATTCTATTTGGTACATTCTAAAATTATACAATATTATCAATACCAATACTAATCTATTCATTAATATTCATATTCTTTTATATCATAAACACTTAGCACATTACTTTTCAATTAATTAACATACTTTTGTGGGAGCACCTACTTTCCATAATTATTCCCCCCCACATCACATATTTTAAATCATTATTTCATTAAGGTATTCCTGCTTCTCCTACTTCAAATCTCTCCTTTCAAAAAAAAAAATTCCACTGAAATAACACAATCTAATTAATATTGACATTCATTTGTATCTTTCTCTCCAACTCCTTTATATCTTAACCATTTTATCCATTTCAATTAAATAACATGCCTTTTGGTAATACTTATATTTTCCACAATTATTCCCCCCCCCCAACATCATATCTCAAATCCTTATTTCATGAAATGTTCCCCTTTTCTTAAGACAAATTTCACTAAGTTATATTAAACATTTTATCACACTTTAAATTACACATTATTTCCAACTTTCTAAAATTATTTCTAAATACAAATTTAAAAAACAATCTTATGTACCTTTAGAATCCCTTTATCAATAAAGTTTACCCATTATCTCTAAAAAACTCTTGTTTCTTTACATCTTGCTCTCTACTATTGAGGCTTCTCGTCCCCTTTCTCCCTTGCTTATTCTTCTCTCTGTCCTCTTTACCCCTTTGCCTCTCCACCTCCCTTTTTCTCTGCTTTCCTCCTTTCTGTTGTCTTCTAACATAATATCTCTTTTTCATCTTGTTTTTCTCTTTTTTGATTGCTTTTATAGGTCTTAAAGTCTCTTTTTCCTTTTTCTCTTTCTCCTTTCCTTCCCCAGCCAAAGTCACTTGTTCATCAAAAATGGCTTCTTCTTTATCCCAGTCGTCCTGTTGTCCATTCAATTTTACATAAGTGTAGACCGCCATTTCTAAATACTGAAAAAGAGTATCAAAAACGTCCTTCCCTTCTTGCTTTTCTTTTTCATATTTTTGATATAAAAGTTTCAATCTGTCCACAAGTAATGCCATTATAAAGAGAAAAAGTTTTCCCAGACAACCATCCAAGTGCTTTTAATCAGAGATAATTCTCAAAAGTGGTAAAATCACCAAGCAATCCAAGTAGGTTAATTCTTTTAAGCACTTTCTCCTTCACTTTCTCTTTCTGGGATTGGAGTTTGATCACAAAGTTCCATTTAATATATATCTTTCAGAAGCCTTGTTAGTATTTATAGCTCTTTAAAAATCCAGGCAGTCTTCTCCTTATTTTCAAATTCTAATCCAATTTTTCCCTCTCCCTTCCCACTCACAGCAAAAAAAAAATTTTAAAGTCTTTTTTAAAAAAAATCATTCAGAAATCCTTATCTCTTCAGTATTTAATTACCTAGATTTTCAGATTTCTCTTGTTATTCCATCCGCTGTCACGTTAGGAAGGAGAGTGAAAGAAAAAAAAAACTTTCCCTTTTAGAATTCTGTACGCAGCTTGTAACTCTCTCTGGAAACAATGTAGCAACTTCTCCGTAGCAATTTTCAAGCCCCAGGAAACTTTCTTATCCCTTGGCAACTTTATCCCGGTCCAGAGACAACTCTCACGATTTCCCCGATTTTCTTCCTCCTGCACAATCTTATCCGTTTGCAGGTTTCTTCATGGCGGCCATTGCTGACCGCCGCTCCTCCGCCTCGGGAAAAGGGGGTTTTGCTGGATGGGGAGGAGGTCTGCGACACCCCCTACCCCCTTTCCAGATCCCCCCTGTCTTCAGCTGCCCCTGCAGGGCAGCTATATCCCCCAGATCCAAACGGATCGAGGGAACCTTGGCAGTGAGCTCGGCAGGGATCGCGCTGGATTGCAAATCTCTGCCGCTGCCGAAGCCTCGCAAACCGGAAGCCACCTTATAGCATCATTTTGAGGGTAGAAGTTCAAACTATTTATGTCCAGGATGTGAAGGGTCTGTAGATATTTTCACAGCCCTCTCGTGCAGTATACAGGTCCTCAATGGAAGGCAGGTTGGTAGCAATTTGTTTTTTCTGAAGTTCTAATTATCTGTTGAAGTCTGTGTCTGTCTTGTTTGGTTGCAGAGCCAAACTAGACCGTTATAGAGATACAGATGACAGACTAAATAATTCCTCTGTAGAACTGAATCAGTAGCTCTTTGGGCAGTCTGAGCTTTCTGAGTTGGCGCAGAAAGAACATTCTTTGTTGTGCTTTTTTTATGACGTTTTTGATGTTAGATGTCCATTTTAAGTCTTGAGATATAATAGAACCTAGAAACTTTAAGATCTCTATTGTTGATACTGTGTTGTCTAGCGTTGTAAGAGGTGGTAGTATAGGAGGGTTTTCCTAAAATTTACCACCATTTCTACGGTTTTCAGTGTGTTTAGTTCAAGATTGTTCTGGTTGGACCACAAGGCTAGTTGTTCAACCTCCTGTCTGTATGAAGATTCATCATTGTCCAGAATGAGAACAATCACTAAGGGGTGGGATGCTACCGGTTCTGCCCAGTTCTAAAGAACCGGTAGCTCTGAAGAGCAGCAGACACCGAACTGGTTCTGTGTTTGCTGCTGTTTGGCTCACCCAGCTCTAACTTGTCCTTTATTTCCTGCTTTTTCAACCTCAGCTGCTTTGCGCGGCACAGATGAGGTTGAAAAAGCAGGAAAAAAGAGGCTTTTCAAATGCTGTGCACCCATGTGCGCTTTTCAGCTGTCCAAGTGGCACAGCTTAAGGTTTTTTTACACGCACACGCGCACCCACAAAACGTTGTCACCGAACCAGTAGTAACACCGGTTGAATCCCACCCCTGCAATCACTGTGGTATCATCTGCAAACTTCAGAATTTCAACAGAGGGATCTTTTGAGATGCAGTCATTGGTATATAGAGTGAAGTGGAGAGAACACACAGCCCTGGGGGATGCCTGTGCTAATTGTACAAGTATCTCATGTGATTTTGCCTAGCTTTACCTGCTGCTTCCTGTCTGTTAGGAAGCTTATGATCCATTTGCAAGTATGGCCAGATACAGCTAGCTGATTTAGTTTAGTTAGGAGAATATCTGGAATGATGGTATTAAATGCTGAGCTGAAGTCTACAAAGAGGTCTTGCATAGGTCTTTGGAGATTCAAGATGTTATAGAATGTAGTGCAGAGTCATATTAACAGCATCATGTTGATCTATTTGCTCGGTAGGCAAATTGCAAGGAGTCTAACAGCGAATCCATGATTGTTTTCAGGTCGGCCAGCACTAGTCTTTCAAAGGTCTTCATAACTACAGATGTTAGAGCAACCAATCTGAAGTCATTCCTTGATGGAAGGTTTCTTCAGCACTGGGATGATAGTAGAGCATTTGAAGCAAGGAGGAACATAGCACATCTCTAGTGATTTATTAAAGATGGGGGTGAAGATGGGGCCACTTGGTCAGCACAAGCTTTTGAGCAAGGAGGAGTTATTTTGTTTGGGCCTGGTGCTTTTCCTGGCTTTTGTCTGTGAAATAGACCTTGTACTTTGTTCTCTGTAATCACCAGAGGTGGTGGGCCCAATGGAATGGGGTAGGGTGCAGGAGGCTTGGCTGTTGTTGGTGTGTCTTGAGATGGGGACTGTGGAGATGGATGGCAATAGTTTCCTCTCAAACCTACAGTAAGGCACACTTAGGTCATCTGCCAGTTGTTGACTTCCTTCAGCATGGGAAGGAGGTTTGCTATAACTGGTGATATTGTTTAAGAGTTTTCAACATGTTTGCTGGTTCATTTATTGAGAACTGATTCCTTAGTTTTGATCTCCCTTGTTTCTAGCCTGATTGTACAGTATTCTGTCACCTTTTCTGTAGGTATCCTCTTTGGAACAACGTAGCTGCTTAAGTGCAGCTGTGAGTTCATCCAAGTCTGCAGAGATACTTTGAACACAGTCCAATCACTGCAGTCAAGACAAGCCTGTAGCTTTAGCTTTGCCTCCTCATTCCAAGTCCTCACTGATTTAATTGGTTTCATGGTTTAAAGTTTTTGTCTGTAGACAGGTACAAGGTGAATCATGCAGTGATCAGAGTGTTCCACAGCTGCTCTTGGTAAAGACCTATAAGCATCTTTTATTGTTGTGTAGCAATGGTCTAAAGTATTTTTGTCTCTGGTGAGACAGTTGTCATTTTGGTAGCTCTTTCCTTAAGTTTGCTTTATTTAGATCTCCTAAAATAATTTGAAATGAATCTGGGTATTTAACTTCAGCCCACATAATCTGGTCAGCTAGAGTTCGTAATGCATTGTTTACAAAAGCTTGTGGAGGAACATACACAGCAATCAGGAGAAATGAGGAGAACTCTCGTGGAGAATAGAATGGTTTGCAATTGATAATTAATGTCTCTAAATTCTCAGAATTTCTTTAGTATAGTTATATCTCTGGACAAATGGCTGTTTATATAAAAACATAAGCTTCCTCTGTTCTTTTTACTAGATGTTTCTTCAATTCTGTCTGCTCTATATAATTGAAATTCTGGGATATTTAGGCTGCTATCATCAATTGACGCATTTAGCCAGGTTTCAGTGAAGCAGCGAGCCATTGAGTGTTAAAAATCAGAATTGCATCTATTTAAAAGAAATATTTCATCCATCTTATTAGCAAGTGAATGTAAATTAGTCAGAAAGAATCAAGGGAGAAGGTTTTTAATCCCACATTTTCTTAGTCTATTCAAAATTCCAGCTCGCTTACCCCTTCTTCTTCTTCACCTCTGGAGACTCCATTTGTTTTTGTTTATCTATTGTTCAAAGGAAGTTGTTTCTTCCTATGTTAAGAACTCTTCTGCATTTGTAAAGACAGGGGGAGGGAGTGAAGTCACAGAAAGCCTGCGCATCAGACAAATATTGCTTGATGCTTACTAGTTGGTCTCTTGTGTATGAAATCCAGAGAATCACAGAGAATTATAAAAAACAAAAAAACTATCAGAGAGCATTTCACCAAGATTGCTGTCCATGGCGCTATCTTGGAATAACAATAAATAATTAAATAATTTGCATTTAACATGCAGTCTTATGCTTTGTGAATCTGAAGCTCCTAATAATTACATAATTTATACAAACCCAAGTCTTTTTTTTCCGGAATCAGTAATGTCAACTTACCTAAAGGTTGGTATCTAATTTTTAATTGTTCATACCATATCTGCCCAAGTTTTTTTAAATGGTCTGGGTCATGAAGTGGAAAAACCTGAAGTAGAATGCCATTAGTTGTTAGCCTTCGCACTGAAATAAATAAAAAAGTTATGTTCTGAAGATCTTATTTATAAATAAAGCCCATTTTCCCAATCTCATACAAGACTACATATATCATCAAACATTCCACTAGCAATATACAGATGTAGGCTTTCACACTTGGTATCTGTTACAATCAGACAGTGTTGGACTTCAGGGTTTAGTGACTCTGGTCTAGAACCCTCAACACTCTATACTTTGTATAGTTCAGAAAGGCCAATGGGGTATTACACATGTGACTATTAAAATAGGAGCCCACTCAGACCGTTTAGTTCCTCACTTTGCTTCTGAAAATGTCAGCCACCATTGTCAGTGAAATGTCAGGAAAACTGTTCTGAATACCACAGTCACTAAATCCTGAAGCCCAATACTGTCCATTCCAATAGTAGTTATCAGTCATGCTCCAAAAACCTAGAAAGGCACACTGAAGTTCTTCTAAGAAGTTTCCTTTATTGATCTATAGTTAGAAATCTTGCTAAACTAAAGCAGATCACTCACACCATTAAATATATACTCTGAGAACTCCTAGGGTGGAGCCATTTTAACTCTTCCACACAAACTATCTAATCTTCCCTTTTGCTTCTCTAGAACACACTCCTTCCTGAGAATCTAGATTATATTGTATCACATCATCTTAACATGGCATTAAGCATTTAGCACAGTGATCAGAGTGGGGAAGAACTTCCCTTTCACTGAATGTCTTCAGACAGAAATGGTATAGCTATTTATCAGGACTGTTTTAATTTGAATTCTTGCATTGGATGGAGTGTAGGGCAGGGATATCAAGCTGGATTTCTTCAAGGGCTGGATTAGCATTGTAGTTTTTGGGGCTGTTTTACAGCCATTTTGAGCCCATTGTGGGGCCATTTTTCAGCCTGTTTTTGGCCCGGTTTCTGCCGGCAGAATGCTGCTGGAGGCTATGGAGGGGAAAACAAGGTGCGTGGAGGGAGTGGTCCATTTTAGCCGCCAGGGGCTAAATATTTCCAGGCCAGCCCTGTGGGCCTTGGGTTTGACGCCCCAGTGTAGGGGATTAATGACTTAAATGACTTCTTCCAATTCTATGATTCTAAAGAAATCATAAATATTTTAGTACTACATCCAAAATGTCATGCATGATGACATCAATATTGACAAGCCAGTTTTTACACTGTATATAATTAGTCCTCAATTTACAAGTTGGAATTAAAATTTCCTTTACTAAGCAAGAAAATAAAGTTGATTCGCACCCAATTTTACATTTTTTACCATGCTTGTTAAGGAATCACTGCAGTTCTTCAATGATTCATGGAGTCATTAAGCAAATCTGGCTTCCCACATTGACATTGTCAGAAGCCAACTAGGAAGGTTGCAAATAATGATCACATGATGCCAAGATGCTACAACCATCATAAATACATGCTAGCTGCCAACCATTCAAATTTTGATAATGTGAGCATGGGGACGTCATGATTGCCATATGCATGAGGATTGGTTGTAAGTCATTTTTCAATGCTGTTATAACTCTGAATAGTCGCTAAACAAATGGTTATATATTGACAATTATCTGTACTACATTTTATCCCTCTAAATTTAAAATTGAAGTCTATTATGGTTAATTAACTAACAAATTGAACTCTACAAGCATTTAAAGTTGTATGTTTCATATTTTTAAAAGTTTCTCACATGATGCAATTTTTTTCAAAAATTAGATGACATTTATCATTTCATCAAAAAAATGATAACTAGGAAAAACTATGCCAATACTATTAATGAAATACAGGGAAGCAGAATGAATATGTATTTATGCTGTTATACTATACTGTTACTGTTTTTTTCACAATAACCCTGTGATATGAGTTGGGCTAAGAAAAAGTGGCCCAACATCACCCTAGCTGTCATGAGTGAGGCAGGACTAGTCTAGTCTGGGTCCTTAACCACTAGACCAAACTGGCTTCTAGTCTATCAGGTTTTAATCTAGCCTCAACCAATGTTGTTCATAATTATTTGGTACCGAGGCCATAGGATAGAGAAGGAAGGGGGGATGACAGCTGTAATCCAGGAACCTTTTTTGGTCATCAAGGGCCATGGTCTCCAAGTTTCCACATGTGAGATTATTGTTTGAGACTGGGCTTGCAGGATCAGTTGGAATTAATTGTTGTACTAGCCACCCTCTTTTTTTAACAACCTGCTGGACAACCTCAGGTTTGGCAGTAGAATTTCCCAGGCTTATGGTCCTCAGGACTTCAATCAGTTATCCTTTGGGATGGCTTCAGAAGCCAGAGCACTGCTAGAGGAAAACAAAGAACAAATCCAACCAAACAAAGATCAGAGCTGCCATTAAGGCCTAACTTGTGGTAGTAAGAACATTAAATGCCAGTATTTCTTCATATTTACTGAATTCACAGAGTGTCACCCAATGGCCTTGTTCCAAGTCAACCAGTTCTTCCTTAAGGAGAGCTTGGATATCTTCTTCAGGATTACATGGAGGAGTTTGTGCAACACCTGACAGATAAAATTGCTCAAATTCGCTCTCGGTTGGAGTTCAAGCATGGTGCAAGTCCATTACAGATACCCTGGGAATGGTCTTACCCTGTTATTATCTCAAAAAAGTTTTGATTCTTTTGGACTTGAGTAAGAGGACAGATGCTTTAAAACTGTCAGTGTATCTACTTGTTTTTTAGATCCTTGCCCCTTTTGGTTATTGAAAACCTCTGAGATACTGACTTCTGAGTAGTAGCATGCAATGATTAATGCATCATTGTAACATAGGGTATACCTTTCCTGATACCTTTTTCAGGAAGCTGTGGTTCTCCCCCTCCTTAAAAAAACATAATTACACCCCCAACTTTTGGCAATTTTTCCCATCTTCCCTTTCTAGGAAAGATGGTGGGAAAAGTGGCTGTGCTGCAGCTTCAGAGGGTCCTGGATGAAATGGATTATCTGACCTTTTTTTCAGTTGGGTTTCAGGTTATGGGACAGAAAGGCATTGTTATGCCTGCTGATGGTCTCTGGCAGGAGCAGGGTACAGATAGTGCATCCATCCTCGCTCTCCTTGACTTCTAGGTGACTTTCGTACCATTAACCATGGTATCATTTGGAATGGCTGCAGGATTTGAGATTGGGTGGCACAGTATTGTACTAGTTCAGTTCCTTTCTCCATGGCCAGTTCCAATTGTGCGATAAATGCAAGAAACCCAGCCCATGGCCACTGCTGTAGAGCTCAGCACACTCTCTGCTCCTTTTTAATATCTACACGTAATCACTAGGTGAGATCATCCAGCAAAACAGGATGGGATATCACCAATATGCTGATAATAATCCGCTTTACATCTCCAATCCTAGTAACCCAAGTTGATGCTGTGGCTGTCTTTTCATGGTATTTAGAGGATATAGTGACCTGGATGTGAGATCAGGCTTCAGTTGAACGCTGGTAAAATGGTATGGCTGTGGGTATGAAGAGCCTTGGAGATTTATCATCTTTCTGGATGGGGTAGCACCTGGTGCATAACTGGGGGTTTCCTTAGACTTGCAAATCCTATTGAAATAGCAGGCATGGAAATAATAAAGCAGCAAATAAAAGCTATAACCAACTAGATCCGCAGAGAAGAAGTTTGAATTGCTAATTATAGGCAGGACCTCCAATTTCAATCCAATCTGAAATGTTTCTACCAATCCATCAATTGAGAGGCTGCAGTGAATCAGTCAGTATATGACAAGGAAGAAACAGTATAATTCTGAGTGCAGATATGGGATAACTCAAAGAAATACAACAAGAATGCAGCTTGGTTAACGGATGTGGATAAGATTAAAAAAAATAAACTGAAATGAAAGAACTAGTAGTAACAGCAGAAATGGTAGAGAAAAGAGCAAGGAAGATCAAGAATTGGTCAGCACCAGTGAATATGAATTACATGATTTTTGATTGAAACATCTAACTAGTCTACATCCATTCATTGCTAAACAATTTAACAACATACTGCAAATTGAAGAGTGGCTAACATCTGGGAAAGCCTACTTGATAATGAAAGATACAGCAAAGGAGGCAGCACCAGGCAACTACAGGCCAATTACCTCTTTATCAACAACTTTTAAATTGCTAACTGATAACTGGTGCTGTCCAATAGCATCTAGTTGAAAACAATCTCTTTCCATCTGAGCAGAAAGGAAACTGCCCCAATAGCAGAGGAACAAACAGTAAATTCCTAATTGACAAAATGATTTTAGAAAACTGCAAGAAAAGGAAGACCAACATGAATGTAGCATGGATTGATTACAAAAAGGCATTTGACACTGCCATATGACTGGATAATCAAGTGTCTAAAAATAACAGGAGTCAGTAGAAAAATCAGAAGCTTTGTACAAAGATCAATGGTACAAATAGAAGACACAGTTGCAGATCAATGGTGTCAGACTGGGAGATGTTAATATCAAGAGAGGAATATTTCAAGGAGATTCACTGACACTGTCATTGCACTGTTTCCTCTGTTAACAATACTGAATAATTCAGGCCATGGCTATCATCAAAAATATCTGCCAGACTATCAACTTCCTTTACATGGATGATCTGAAATTGTATGGAAAAACACCATCTGAAATAGAATCATTGCTCAATATTGTCCGTATATATAGCCAAAATATTGAATAGAGTTTGGCTTGGACAAATGTGCCACACTTACTATCAAACAGGGAAAAATAGTGAAAACAGAAGGAATCAAGATGCCCCATGAAAATAATATTAAGAGTTTGGATGATTATTACTACAAATATCTGGGTATCAGGGGTGGGATTCAAATTTTTTAACAACTGGTTCTGTGGGTGTGGCTAGGCGGGCATGGCCATGTGACTGGGTGGGCATGGCTTCTTCTTCTTCTTTTTTTGCAGCAAACACCCCCCCCCCCATTTTTTTTGCCTCCTTGGCTTCAGGGAAGCCCTTGGGGGACATTTTTGCTCCCAGAAGGCTTCCCTGGGGCCCAGGAGGCAAAAAAACGGCGCACTGGGGGGGGCAGCTCCTTACCGTACACCCCTTTTTGCCTCCTGTGCCTCAGGGAAGCCTCCTGGGTGAAGCAGAAAGACAGCAAGGGGGATCCCGGCACAGCTGATCATTGGAACAGCTGATCATCCGAAGGGACAAAAAAAAGAAATATCCTAAGGAGTGACTTGGCGGGGCAGAACGCAGTCAGCGATGTCGGGTTAAGTATTTAGGGATATACATTACATCAAGATGTAGTACACTGAAGGAGGATAATTATTTTAAACTCAAACAGCAGATTGCGACAAATTTGACAAAATGGGGAAACTAACAATTATCACTGATTGGGAGAATATCTACAATTAAGATGAATGTATTGCCTAGAATCTTTTATTTATTCCAAACAATTCCAGTCTGACTAGGGAAGGATTTTTTTGAAGATTTAAATAGAATTGTGTTGAAATATATTTGGCAGGGCAAAAAAGCAAGAATAAAATTAAAATTGTTACAAGATACAAGAATAAGAGGAGGATTTGCCTTGCCTAACTGGGAGTTGTATTACCAAGCAACAAATTTGATGTGGGGAAAGGAATGGATAACATTAAGGAACAATAGACTATTGATCTTAGAAGGGCATGACTTGCTGTTGGGATGGCATGCCTTCCTTTGGTATAAGGGAACTAAAACACAGGGGTATTTTAGAAGACATTATATTCGAGAGGCATTATTTTTGAATTGGGAGAAGATAAAAAGGCAATATTATTTAAAAATTCCACTATGAATATCTACCATTGAAGCTTTTACTTATCCAATAATATATAAAAAGGAACAAACAGTTAGATATGGGGAGATACTGAATGAAAAGGGTGAACTTAAATCTATGCAAGCGTTGGAAGAACAAGGTGTAAAAATGAATTGGTTTTCATATTTGCAAATACAATTTAGATTTGAGAAAGATGTTAAAGCAGAAGGTATTTATGATAAGTTGACTGACTTAGATAAGATTTTGATGGGTACTGATGAAAAGGTAATTTAAAAACTTTATGGACACTTATTAGAATTTAAATTGGAGGAGGAACAAGTTAAAGAAACGATGATTGCTTGGGGAAAAATTTTGGATATGGAATTGATTTAGAAAAATGGTAAAAATTTTGGTCTCAAAATTATAAAATGACAATGTCAACTGCATATAAAGAAAATTTGTATAAGATGTTTTACAGGTGGTAACTACCCCCGACGAGACTTGCGAGAATGTTTAAGAATAAATCGAATAAATGTTGGAAGTGTCATCAGATACCTGGTTCATATTACCATATGTGGTGGACATGCTCGGACGCGAAGAAATATTGGACTAAAATCCACACATGGTTGGAAAAAATGATAAAACATATATAATTACACCAGAGATCTTTTTATTGGGAATTATACCGGAAATATACAACAAAGAGTTGAAATATTTGATTGTAAATGTACTAACATAGCGGGTAGGATTGTATTTACTAAGAATTGGAAAAAAGTTTAAATACCTATGCAGGAGGAAGTTATTAAGAAAATTATGCACTGTGCTGAAATGAGTAAATTGACATTTGAAATTAGAGAACAAGAAGATAAACAATTTTATATGATATGGGTTTTTTTTAATCAATGGTTAGACAAAAAGACATAGTAATGTAATAGACTAGATAATTTGTGATATAACTTTAATAGATTGATATAAGACATAATATAGACATAAATAACCATTGATTGAAAGTATAACATAAATTTTAAGATAAAACTTGGAACATCTCGTATAAAATGATGGAATAAATAGTTTAGTCATGGATGATTAATAACTGATATATATACAATCATATGTTAGTTCAACAATGTGAACATTGATATAAATTGTGAGTAAATGACTACAAAAGAATAGCACAAAAGATTTGTAATCAACTGACACACTGTATGTATATAAAATGGAAGAGGTTTTATGTTTTGTATGTGTATGTTTGTTTTTAAAAAATAAAAATTCTTTTAAAAAAAGAGTTTGGATGATTATTACTACAAATACCTGAGTATCAGGAGTGGGATTCAAATTTTTTAACAACCAGTTCTGTGGGTGTGGCTAGGGGGGGCATGGCCATGTGACTGGGTGGGCATGGCTTCTTCTTCTTCTTCTTTTTTTGCAGCAACCCCCTCCCATTTTTTTTGTGTCCTTGGCTTCAGGGAAGCCTCCTGGAGGGCATTTTTGCTCCCAGAAGGCTTCCCTGGGGCCCTTAAGTCAAAAAACGGTGCACTGGGGGGCAGCTCCTCACCGTGAGCCCCTTTTTGCCTCCTGGGCCTCAGGGAAGCCTCCTGGGTGAAGCAGAAAGACAGCGAGGGGGATCCTGGCACAGCTGATCATTGGAACAGCTGATCATCAGGAGGGGAAAAAATACCCTAACGAGTGACTGGGCGGGGGAGAACACAGTCAGCGATGTCGCGCATGCGCAATAAGGATGACTTGGTGAGGAGGGAAGGGGCGGGCAGAGAGGGGCAGGGCCAACCAGGGACACAATTTGCTGGTTCTCCAAACTGCGCAGAATCATAACAACTGGTTCTATAGAACCGGTCCAAACTGGTAGAATCCCACTCCAGCTGGGTATCCTTCAAGCTGACAACATCAAGCACACTGAAGTCAATAAAAAGATTAGAGATGAATACATCAAGAGCGTATAGAAGATCATATAGTCCAAACTCAATGGAGAAAATACCATCAAGGCTATCAACACCTGAGCAATTCCAGGTATTAGATACTCAGCAGGAATAGTGGACTGGACTCAAGCATAATTAAAAATAATAATAATGACCCTTCATCCTCACAGCAACATTGACAGACTCTGCCAAGGTAAACAGGTGGGCATGGAATGTTGCAAGTACATCAGATAGTTGAAGAAGATAAAAAAGCTTTGGAAGAATATCTGAAGGACAATGAAGAAGTTGAACTAAAGTTACTATGCCCGGAAAACTTACTGACTACTGGAGAGACCAAACTGGACTACAAGAAAAGACCAACTGAAGAACAGAATGCAGACAAAGCACTACATGGCCAATACATTAAAAAATGGTAGGGAAAGCAGATAATAACAAGATCTGGCAATGGCTAATAGCAGAAAAGTTGAAGAGGTCAAGAGACTAATTCTGGCCACACGAGACCAATCCTTAAGGACAAATGTATACAAAGCCAGAATTGAGAAGATAGCAACAGACAATAAGTATTGCCTATGTAAAGAAGTTGAAGAAATATTGGACCACCTAGTAAATTGCTGCAAGGCTGAGTACAAGTGGCAGCATGACAAAGTAGCAACAATAGCACATTGGAAGATCTGCAAGAAATACATTTGCCTGCAAGCAAGAATTGGTGGGACCATAAAATAGAGAAAGGCATAGAAAATAAAGAAATTAAATTGCTCTAGGGATTTCAGAATTCAAACAGATAGGCACCTGCCACACAACACCCCAGACTTAACAATTGTCGATAAGAAAGACAAAAAAGTCCGAATAGTGGGTTTAGCAGTGACAGCAGATTAGAAGAGAAAGACCCGGAGAAGATAACAAAATACAAAAACCTACAAATAGAAATAGAAGTACTGTGGCAAAAGCAAGCAAAGGTAGTACCAATAGTAATAGGGATTTTGAGTGCAATCCCAAAACAACTGGAGCACCACTTGAACACCATTGGTATTGACAAATACTCCATCAGTCAATTGCAAAAGGTGACTTTACTGGGAAAAGCTTCCATCCTGCGATGATATCTCTACAACCATCAAACATCTACATCTGCCTATCCTGGGTCCTTGGTAAGAACTTGATTGGTAAACAAAAATGCCAAACTCAGTCTGAACATTTGGCTGATTGTGCAATGATCAATAAATAAGTAACTGAAACTATGGGAGTTGTGCAGACAATATTTACCATAGCAACATTATTCAATGCTCTTAAATGAAGAGCCAAAGATTTTTATATTTTAATTTTTAAATATAATTACATATGCAATGCAAAATTAATGAATTACTCACTAATTGACTTTCCTGGATAAAGCTTTGCCTGAGGATAGCCAGGGATCATCTTTTCATTTTTAGCTCTTAAATTTTCAAGTTCATGTTTGACAATGTATTGACATTCTGCCATTGTAAGAAAATCATGATTATCCTCTAAACAAAAAAGAAATGCATTGTTGAAAACTAGATTCTTATTTTGATAAGTTCCAAGCAAAAGTAATTACATGGTGATTCTAAAATCCTGTATACCGTGTTTCTCATATAATAAGGCCGGGTCTTATTTTTTTTTGAGCCCCGAAAAAATGGCTAGGCCATCTTTTTGGGGAGTGACTTAATTCCCCCCCCTTGGATCTTTGGGCGGGCGGGCGGCGATGGCTTGGATGTTGACTTCGGCATTGGTGGGGCATTTCGTATCGGGGTCAACGCAGGCAGCACTATATCCGGGTGTGCAACAAAAGTACTTCCTAACGGCAAGCCCCCCCCCACCATTCCCCCCATTTCGCATGTTTTAATATAGGCCTTAATTTGGGGGGAGGGGCTTAATTTCATTTCATGCCTATAAAACATGCTGGGATTTCCTATTGGGGGAGGCCATATTGTTGGAGAAACAGGGTATAATATGACATATTCAGAATTAAGCTTTCAATATCCATGGAAAAAGTCTCCACATTCCTAAAACTGTTAATTATTAAGGGAGATGCTGTATATTTATTAAAAGTATAGATTATAAGGTTTAAAAAATATTTAATATGAATACTGAATAACTTTTATAATCACAGAAAACTTAAGTTTAAGAAAAATATTCAAGCATTTTTACATTCCAAGTTCAGAAGATCAGAAATTAACAGAATGCTGGAATTCTGGGCAAAATTTACCCAATTACATTATGCTTATTTATTTCACAATATCTTCTGAAAAGGTTAACAGTGTGATCCTAAATAGCAAGAAACATAAATTGATTTTACAATTAACTTTTTTTTTACCTGCAAAATCTTTAAAATTTTTTCTAGATGTGTATGTAAATGCTCTCATTGTATTATCATTACATTCTTTAACCAACCCTACAGTTTCAGCTCCTAGAAGCAGCCTTAAATAAGATGCTCCAACAAGATATATGTTCTTGCTTCCTTCAATCTCTTTTCCTTCCTCCACCAAAGGTTTAACTAAAAGTTGGGCTCCTTCAAAAAGGAAAACAAATGAAGTAGATTATTTATGAATTATTATTCATAATGAAGAGGATGTACTATGTGTATTATATTCACAGGTTTTGCTAAATCATAAACATGGGAATGACAGCTATATTCACAAAACTTGTTTGGATAAAATTAAACCAATTACACAGTGATTTCATTTATTGGGTCATTTCTGTCATGAAATTCTTGGATTCAAAGGCAGTACTGAATTAGGAAAGGTTAGAAATGAGTAGACCCAAAGGAGAAGAAAAAGAAACATCAATGGAAAGTGATTAGATTAGAATATTTTCTAATATTTTCAATTAAATTATACATAAAGCATTAATACATTAGTTTATTTTAATACTCATAAAAGCAAAATAAAATCAAAAGCAACAAATAAAAAATCAGAGAGTCCTGACTATCAAAACCTTTTATGCAAAATATTTTGATATAAACTGTTTCAAAGACAAAAATCCATAAAATAGCTTCAAATATTCTGAAAATGGCATTGAGTGCACCACTGAAGGAGCTGAAAGATCAAGTTAGGGTGTAGTAGAGATGTAGATCCTATAGGGGGTGCAAGCAGCACACTGCTGTGCCTCTGGGCCTCAAATACTTATATGATCTCACTCCATGTCCTGGGCTGGTAATTCCTGGACTGGTACAATGATCTCATCTGTTAACATCACCACTATTCTTAAGGATTGATGGGGGGTTTCACCAATCCTAATGCTGTACCTATGTTGCCTTTGCCTGCTTGTAAAAATCATATAAAAAGAATAAACGCTGCCCAGACAGACATCTTGGCACACTAAAAATGACTGGTCTTTGAACTCCATCATTAGGGATAGATTGTCATGGAGAAAACCTAACTATGTGGTTACTAAAAGTCAACCCCAACTTCATGGCACATAGCCAATTAATAAAATGATATTCTATCCATATAATTATTTTTTCAAAGTTTTCAATTAAAAAGAAAAAACTCATTGCCATTACGGAGACTTGGTGGGATGAAACTCACAAATGGAATTACAGCTACAGAGATTTAAATTATTTAAAAGAAAAATTATTTAAAAGAGAAGGTGAAGTTGCACTATATATAAGAAATAACTACATCTCTACAGAAATAGAGCACAACAATGATGAAAACTGCCATGAATGCATCTCGGTTAATGTAAAAGGGGGAAAACTGACATTGCTATAGGTGTATATTATAGGCCACCCAACCAAACTAACTTTTTGCTAGTCAGTTAACTAAGGTATGTAGGAAGCACATCACAATAGTAATGGGGGATTTTAACTACCCTGACATCAATGGGAGACAAACTCTGCACCAAGTGGAAGATCAAACAGGTTCCTGACAATTTTGTTTCCCAAAAGTAGAGATGGGAACAAGGGGACCAGCCATATTGGACTTAACTCTAACAGAGATGAAATGATAGAAGGTGCTGAAGCTACAGGAATCTTGGGGGGGGGGGGAGTATAACTATACTATTTCAGACAAATCTGAGGATGCTTTTTGTGGATTTTAGTTCTGCGTTTAACACAATTCTTCCACATAGACTAATGTCTAAACTTCTGGACCTTGGGCTTTCTAATTCAATCTGCATTTGGATTATGGATTTCCTGTCTGGCTGCTCACAGAGGGTCAGATTAGGTAATCATACCTCTTCAGCCCTTATTCTTAACACTGGTACACCACCAGATTGCGTGTTGAGTCCCTTACTCTATACTCTTTATGTGCATGACTGCATTCCCACTCACGTTAGTAATACTGTTGCTAAATTTGCAGATGATACAACAGTGGTGGGATTTATTTCGGGGGGGGGGGGGGATGAGTCTGCCTACCAAGATGAGGTTGCTTTCGTGGTGTGGAGACAACAACTTGGTCCTCAACACCAATAAGACCAATGAGCTTATAGTGGATTATAAAAGGAATAGACCAGAGATCCAGCTTATCAATGGAGACCGAGTGGATCAAGTGGCCAGTTTTAAGTTTTTTGGTGTTACCCTAAAAAAGGACTTGACCTGGGGTGTCCACATTGCAGCTCTGGTTAAAAGGGCCCAGCAGAGATTATACTACCTGAGGCTTCTCAGAAAACAACTGAATGAAAAACTGCTGGTGACCTTCTACCGCTGCACCATAGAGAGCATTTTAACATGCTGCACCTCTGTATGGTTTGCCAATTGCACAGTGGCAGATTGGAAGAGCTTTATAGCTCCCGCTGCCTTAAGAAAGTTCAAAACATTCTCAAAGATCCATCTCATCCTGGGAACCCTTTTTTTTAACTATTACCATCTGGCAGACGGTGCAGAATAATAAAAACAAGGACAAATAGGCTGAAAAACAGCTTCTATCCCAGGGCAGTAGCTCTTTTGAATTCTGCTGTATAGTGCAGTGTTGGTGTGGTGTCGAGGGTTTCCCATTCAATTTGTGAAGGGTGAAGGATGTGTGCTTGTGTTTATTTTCATGGTCATGATGTGCACTGAAGATGGTGTTTGATTTCGTTGTATGAGGTGCAATGGCAATAAAGTAAACTAAAAAAAAATGGTTGTCCAATCTCTTTAAAACTTTCAGTGTTGGAGCATTCACAATCTCTGGAAGCAAGTTGTTCCATTGATTAAGTGTTCTAACTGTCAGAAAAATTTTCCTTAGTTCTAGGTTGCTTCTCTTCTTGATTAGTTTCCATCCTTTGCTTCTTGTGTAATCTGAGAGCTTCTAATGTAAGCAAATTCCTAAATAACTTTCTTAGTAGTTAACTTTCTTAGTAGTTGAAACATATTCATTGCCTGCATAAATTATTGTGTTATGGAAGAACAGACAAACTGAATAACTTAAACACATATCTCAGCACATATCCTATGTCTGTAGCTAAATACAACATTTGGACTGCTTCTCTTGTTAGATTCAAAATTATTTTTATTCTTCTCTCATTCACATTTCCAAAATAGATCACAATCTTTGCAAAAGAAAAATGTTTAAAGGTAGCTTGAAAAATCTTCTTTTTGCCTGCCTATACACATTCTTTTCTATTGTGTATTATAAATCAATGTTCACAAGAAATGTCAATGGTGCTTATAAATTGCCTAATAAAACTAAGGGCACTTACCTCCATTCTTCTTCTTCCCTACAATCTTCTGCATCAGCCACTCTTTGGTTTCATCTTTGGTATTTTGTGCAAGTTCAACCACCACCAAAGGCTTGAAATTAGCCTCAAATGTATCATATGCAGACCAACTTATCTTCATCTTTTTGGACAACCAATCTATCAAATAAGTAGAAATAAAAAGTTTTGTTGTGAAAGATGGTAGCATTGTTACAAAGCAACTACTTTTTGCCTTTTTTCATATATATTTTTGGTACAGCAACAGCAAAATTTTACTATCAAACTGAAAAAGACATTTCCAGTTTATCTGCATATTTTCAGTCAAGTCCTGTTGTTTATGTTGACATTTTTCAAAGAACCCTATTTCCTTCTTCATTTTGGTATACTCTGAGTTCTAAACTCTAAAGTTTTGAGATTTTTACACCAATTATCTGCAGATTACACTGAAATTAAAAATATTTGCAAGGCACCTCGAGAAATGTAATGTACGTATGTTAATCCTTGTATCAAATATGGTACCGGTAGATATGTTAAAACAGAAGTTTATCCTGATGTTTTAGTTTCAAGTTATTTATTTTTTAGAGTTTTTTTTAAAAAATCTATTTTTTATATAATCTTAAAACTATTTAACCTGAACTAACCTGAGTTTAAAGATTCACTACATTACATAAGGCTCTAGCCATACAACTCAAACCAATACATTTTTATCATTAGGAAGGTATTTATAATGTGCAATATGACACATTGTTCAGATAATAATAGGACTGTGGGCTTAGTTATCAAATTATTCTAATCCTACAAAGATAGAACTATAATATACAAAGATATATTCTATGTTTCTCCATTCAATTTTCAGCCACCTACTATTTCAATAAGTTGTATTTTCTATTATCAGCATTTAGAGACTAGCTAACATCTATTTTTTCCACAAACCTAGGAGAATGTTAATAAATTTCATTCAGATTGAGACCAACCTTTTAAGGCAGGCCATGTCAGGATACAAAACACAAGGATTTCAGAAATACTATTTTACTAGAAAATCTGTCAAGAATTTCGCTCTGCCCTATCTCATATTTTCCCACCCCAAGCAAGATGCGATTGTTTTTTTCTTTCTCATTTCCCCTAGACTCAGTTGTGTCTCTTTAACCATCCAGCCATTCCTTTCCCAAGATTATCTCTACAGTGCTTTACAGTGCTTTATCTTTCGGTAGATCCCTTGCCTTAGTATTTCTATCTTAATTAATTTAGTTCTGTACAACCATGCTTATTTCTTTTGTTGCTTAGGTTATATCATCCCACCTTTACTTTCAACTTTTCTTTGATTTAATTTTTTTCTCTTAATTTGAGGTTTCTTGCACTATAGTAAATTTGGCCATCTCAACTGATTTTGTGCTAAATTCACTCAGTTTTACATAGAGCTGATGCAAGAACTCATTGCCAAGCTGCAGTACTATGCTCTGGGGGACTCTTTCTATTCACTGATAGTTCCTAGGGTCTCTTGCTCTGGAACTCTTATGGATGTTTGCTAGTTCTGATCACTGCCAAATCCTAGGGTCTCTCATCATCCTTTGTTGTAAGTTTTCTGATACCCTTTTATCTAGGGTTCTATACTCTAGCGCTGTTCAGTCAGATACTGCTTCACCCCACCCAGTCTGCTGTGGAATGTTGTTGGCCTACCCTGGCCTCTTCAAACAGCAGTATTGCTGAGATAATCCAAGAGCCTTTTTTGGCTGTTCCACTGCTTGCTGAGCTGTTCTTTGTTCAGTTTTCCTGGCTGGTCATGTCCTGCACTTGTGCCTCTTAATTGCCAGCATCTGCATCAGGGCTAGTGACCAGGCTGCTGCTTCTGAGTTTACAGAATAGTGTCTATATTTGGTCTCTCACAACATTTCTCATGTGTCAACAGTCTGAAGGAACTTAGCCCAACAGAGACCAGCTGGTTTTAGCAAGGGATTGTCTCTGCTGTTATGTTATGTTGTGGTGTCAGGTAACTGGGTGATACAGGAGACAAGGGGGAGGGCAGGCACAGGGAATGCAAGTCTCGTGTTCTGCCCCCTTGCCCTCACCTCATTTTCCTAGTCAGCAGATTGTGGTGGCCCTGCTGCCTTTAAATGTCAGATCAGCCTACAATAAGGCTAGCCTTATTGCCCATTTGATCCTCAAAGAGAAGGCTGATCTGGCTTGTATAACTGAGAGCTGGCTAGGCCCAGAGGGAGGTGTTCCCCTTGTAGAAATGTGCCCAGTGGATTATCGAGCTAGGCACCAATTTAGACCTCAGGGCCAGGGGGAGGTGTGGCTGTTTTTTTTAATCAGAGAATATCTAGTAGCCTCCAGAGGCACTGTTCCAAAAAGAGTCCCTTTTTCTTAGGTTGGGCTCCAAGTATTAGGTGGGATTGCTGCTGCTGTACCAGCCTTCCTGCTGCATGGCAGCTTCCCTACCTGGGCTCCTGGACCTCACCGCAGGGCTGGCGGTGGAATTCCCAGGCTTATAGTTCTGGGGGATTTCAACCTGTCTTCTTTGGGGGCGGGGGTGGAGGCAGCCCAATATTTTATGAAAACCATAACTTCCATGAGCCTGTCCCAGATCATCCAGAGCCCAACTAGTAATAGTGGTCACACACCCAATTTAGTGTTCTTGTTGAAGCAGTGTCTATGTGACCTGGAATTGGTGGGCCTGTCCTTGGTCCCTTTATCATGGTTGGATCAGTCTGGTGGCAATGAATTTCTCAAAACCACCACACCACCCCTCCACAGGGAGGCAGCACCTATTATATTGGCCCACCCCCGTTGACTAATGGACCCGGATGGGTTCCAGAAGGAGCTGGGGGTTATAACTGCAGATCTACTATGCAGTCCAGCCGAGCTCTTAGTCACTGTTTAGAATGGGAAGGTGACTAGGCTCTGGGTAAGATTTCACCTTTGTGACCTCTCCTCGTCTGTAGACCTCTCTGTACCCTGTGGTATACAGAGGAACTGATAGGGATGAAATGCATGAGGAGACATCTAGAGCATCGCTGCCAGAAGACAAGAAATGAACTTGATCGAACATGGGTAAGAGCTGCTACTAAGGCCTACCTTGTGGCGATTTGTGCAGCAAAGTGTAAATACTTCTCCACATTAATTGTTTGCAGATAATCGCTTAGAGACCCTCTTTAAGGTGAGCCATCTCCTCCTGGGGAAAGAGATTGAGGTCCACCTGAAGGGGCACGCTGAGGAATTTGCAGATTTTCTGGAAGACAAAATCGCTCGAGTTCATTTCCAGTTAGATGCTGGCATGGTTGCTGGTCCGGTGGAAGCTCCTGAGGCAGGTTCTTGCCCTGTTATCTGGGAATGGTTTGACCCTGTTGCTCCTGAGGAAGTGGACAGGGTCCTAGGGAGTATACGTGCGAGCACCTGTGTTTTAGACCCATGTCCCTCCTGGCTTGTAAAACCTTCCCAGGAGGTGACAGGGGGGTGGACTCTGGCGGTGATTAATGCTTCCCTACAGGAGAGGACAGTGCCCCAGCACTTTAAGGAGGCTGAAACGGCATTGGTCGCACTTTTGGATGATCTCTGGCAGGAGTGGGATTGGAGTAGTGCATCCATCCTTGCTCTACTTGACCTCTTGGTGGCTTTCAATACTATTGACCATGGTATTCTCCTGGGGCAGCTTCGGGGGATGGGACTGGGAGGTCTTGTGCTGTCCAGGTTCACTTCCTTCCTCTGTGGTCGCTCTCAGTTTTGATAGGAGAGAGATCCAACCCTTGGCCACTACTTTACAGGGTTCCGCAGGGCTCGATACTCTCTCCACTCCTGTTCAACATTTATATGAAGCCGCTGGGTGAGATCATCTGTCACAATGGACTGAGGTATCACCAATATGCTAATGATATTCAGCTGTATATCTTGGCCTGTAGTGAGTTAAGTGTTGCTGTGTTCTCCCTCTCGAAGTGCGTGGAGGCTGTTAGGGACTGGATGGGGAGTAACAGGTTGAAACTAAATCCTTGCAAGACTGAGTGGCTCTGGGTTTGAGGTTTGTTGGCTCAGGGAGAATTGCCACCTTTGGTCTTGGATGAGGTGGCACTATCCCAAACAGACCCTGTGCATAATCTAGGAGTTTTACTGGACTCACAACTCCTGCTCAAAGAGCAGCTGGCGGTCGTGGCCAGGAGGGCCTTTGTGCAATTGTGGGTTGTGCACCAGTTATGCCCTTTCCTGCACCAAAAGTCCCTACTCACAGTCACTCATGCCCTAGTCACTTCCCATCTTGATTATTGCAACACGCTCTATATGGGGCTGCCCTTGAAGAACATCCGGAAGCTCCAGTTGGTGCAAAATGCAGCGGCCCACATGGTTCTGTGCAGACCCCAGTGTGCACATGTTTTACCTCTCTTGCGGGAACTGCATTGGTTCCTGATTTGCTTCCAGGTGTAAGTCAAGGTGCTGGTTGTCACCTTTAAAGCCCTTCATGGCTTGGGACCAGGTTATCTGAGGGAACGTCTCTTGCTGATCACATCTACCAGATACATTAGAGCAGGGAGGCAGGGAATGCTGCAGGTCCCATCTCTGAGGGAGATACACCTGGTGGGACCCAGAAGGGCCTTCTTTGTGGTGGCTCCCTCTCTGGAGCATCATTCCCCCAGAGATTAGAATGGCTCCCTTTCTACTACCCTGGCACTGTGAATACCTGGTTCTGGCAGCGGGCCTGGGGAACCCAGAGCGGGATGGAGCACATCAAATGGCTCATGTGTTTTGCTGTTGTCGGAGCAGGGGTGGGAATTAGAGGTGATTTTAAATTTTTTTTTCCAGATTTTGTTCTATTGTATTTTATTAATTTATTTGATTTTTTGTTAGCTTTTTTATTATTTTTATTTTAAAATGGTTTTACATTCTGTAAGCCACGAGTCACAGTGGGCAGTAATATGAATTCAATAAACAAACAAACAAACAAACAGAGACCAGCTAGTTTTAGCAAGGGATTGTCTCTGCTGTTACTCTCATCAAGCTTTGGCCTAAAATTATCATCTCTACTCATTGCTGCACTTTGTCATCATTGCCACATATCCTGAATGTGCTATAAATCTCTGGCTGTTCTCAGACAGTCCTTCCCCCTTTTCTTGGCATTTTTTTCTTCTTGCTCTTTCTCCTCTGCCCTGGACAATAGCTCCCCCATTGCAACT